TAGGCTGCCAGGTTAAACCTGTGATTCGAGAAGGCTGAGAGGTGTGAAGAAAAACAAACTTTTATATTTATGACCAATTGGCCAATTAAGCTGCTTTTGATTTAAAAGAAAAACAACACAAAAAGGCAGAACCCATTTAGCAATGGCTGTGTTAGAAATGCATGAAAAGATTATTAACGTTGGATTTTTTTCTCATTCATTTTTAGTTCTTTTTAGAAAATGACACTCGAGTCTTCTGTAGTGGCCATCAAAGGCTCAAGTGAGCCCTGGCTGGCGTAGCTCAGTGGGTTGAGCGCGGGCTGTGAACCAAAGCATCGCAGGTTCGATTCCCAGTCAGGGCACATGCCTGGGTTGCAGGCCATGGCCCCCAGCAACCTCTCTCTCTTTCTCCCTCCCTCCTCTCTCTAAAAAATAAATAAATAAAATCTTATAAAGGCTCGAGTGAGACAGCGCCGCAACCCTTCTGTCCGGCCCCTGCTGGGGTGGCGACCAGTAGCCAGCCTACGAGGCCTCTTCTGTGTTGCAGTTACATTTCGGAAGCCAGAGGCTGATGTACAGAATCTCTGATGTGTGAGATCACCAACTAGGAAAGTTACCTTCCAGCGAGATTCACCCATCGTCCCATGGGGTCTTTCATAAATCTGAGAGTGGCTATACCCTTGTGTTTTAGAGGTAAAATCTCATACAGCACAGGAAGGTGAAAAATGAGAGGGATTTTTTCCCCCTTGACTACATCAATGTATCATCTTGTGCCCTCAGGCTCTGAGGTCTCCTAAGTCCTCTCTCATATTATTCCTTTCAGTTTTTTTCCTTCCTCTTCCTTCATTGTTCTACATTTTTCAGTTCCTAGTATTATCTTTCATGTTTAAAGTTTAAGTTATATAAATGCAATAAGTAAACTCATCTTTGCTTAACAGAGTGCTGTACTTCAGAGAGACAAAACAAATACATTTTGGTAGCAACATTCTCAGATTTTCAATAACTTAAAACTTGTGTGGTGGTGGTGACTGGGGTGTGGCAGAGGGTTCTGTTACTGATTTCCATTCAGTTTCATTTGTGTCACTTCTCATTACCTGTGGCAGTTTTCAGAGAGAATACTCCAGAATCAGACCACCTGGGCTAAATCCAGCTAGTTACCATATTTTTTCTGACTATAAGATGCACATCCCCCACCAAATTTGGGAGGAAAAGGGGGGTGCATCTTATAGTCTGAATGTAGCTTACCTGGCTTGCTTTGGGGGGGGGGCAGTGGCCTATGTTATTTATGTTATTAAATATTTTACCACATTTTTTGCTTCAAAAATTTTTTTCCTATTTTCCTCTTCTAAAACCTAGGTGTGTCTTATGGTCCAGTGTGTCTTACAGTCTGAAAAATTCGGTAAGTGACCTTGTGCAGGCTACCTAATCTCTCTGTACCTCAGTTTCCTCACTTATGAAAGAAGGAGAGTATTAGCACTTAATTCATTGTGCCATTATGAGCAGCAAATGACTTAATACTTGTAAAGTGCTTGAAAAATAACAGACACTGTTATAGGAAGTTTATAAGTATCAACTATTTAATCTTCAAAACAATATGATGATATAGGTGTCATTGTTATTCTCATCTTATAGCTTAGGAAACTAACACACAGAAAGAGTAAGTAACTTGTACCAGATGGCCCAGATAGTAACTGAAGCATTGGTTTCAAACCTAGACTGTCTGGCTACACAACATTCATTAAATGTTATTATTATGATGGTTGTTATCACCTGCACTTACACACTCAATAAATATCTGCTGTTGCTGCTGATAATGATGAATTTGCATGTCTAATCCTCCTTCAAAGTGTACTAAAATGTGTATGACCCCTAACGGAATAGTTGATTTAGGCAAGGGTTGTCACCTAAAGTCACTGGTGATAGTTTGCTGGGAAATAGTATATTATCACTGTCCCAAAGTGTCACTTGCTCCGATTACTTGTTAATTGCAAAGGAGAAAAAAGTACCTCTACAAAAGAGAGATCCCTGGAGTGAGATCACAGCCTGGAGCCACGATCAGACTGAGCGTCACAAATAGAGGGCGAATCCGGCATTATGTGCCTCCTGCCGAGACACAGTATGGAACCTTGTAACGCATACTCAATCGAACTCGAATCAATGCTTTAGTTCTAAATTAAAGTTTATAGGAAATACAAGAGGTCACGGAAGAAACAAATGATACCATGAGGCAACAACAAATCCAGAACGTGGAACCTTCCACAAAACAACTGGCTTAACCTTTAAAAAAGGTTCAATGTCAAATAAAAAGACATAAAACCCAAATGCAGAAATGTGTTTTCCTTTTTAAAAATCAGATCAAGTTTTTTTTTTTAAAGGTATAGACAACATTTGAGGAGCAAATGGCAGAAGTCAGAGATGGCCTAGTTATGACATGATGTTAAAGAATTGCTGTTCATTTTCTTAGGTATAATGATGGCATCGAGATTATGGAGGAGATGTCCATATTTTTAGATGAGCACTGAATTATTTAGGGTGAAACATCATTTTGTCTGTAACTTACAAGTTGTTCAGAGAGAAGTACATACAGATGGAACAAATATGGCAAAAAGTTCACAACTGTTGAATCTACGGAGTATAGAGGTATTCATTGTACTAATATTTCAACTTTATTTTTGAACATTGTTTTCACTTTCTTCATTAGATACATTCCTTATCTTTGGAGATAATAAAGACTTTTATTTTCATGTACTTAGTATTAGCTTTTTAAAAATTCTATAAAATGTTTGCCTCTGAATTCATATTTAAAAAGAAAACTAAAAAATTTTACTAAATTCCTACTGGCTCAAGCTTATTAAACTGGTATTGACATTGTTGAAGAGAACTCAGCACCTAACACAGGGCCTGACATGTAGTGAATGTCCAATAAATGTTTGTAAATATTTATTTATATACTATACTTTCCTGAGGATTGTAAAGTGGCAAAAAAAAAAAAGGAAAGAGATAGATAGATAGATAGACAGATAGATAGAGGCATGAGGCTGGGTTATTTCTTTACAGATCAAGGTATGCTGGCAAAATACTTGAGATGGACAAGGTGGGGACCAACTGACCGTGCCCTTGATTCAATAGGTCAGAAAGATTCTTGACCAAGTTTTGAGTTTGTTTTACAAGGGCATGAAAATGAAGACTGTGTGTCTAGGACTAAACCAGAAGCAACAACTATTGTTTAAGACATCCGGAAGGAATCATACTTAATAACACATTTTTTGAACAATTGTAGACTTTTCTAGATCCATGAAAAGAGGCAAGTTCTGCTCAAGTTTAGGCACGAACCCTACAAGTCACCAACACCAGTGGTTGTTATTCTCTGAGAATCAGTAAATAAGCACGAACTAGGGTCATTTTCAGCTCTTCCAGGAGGCAGTGGTTTTATAAGAGATGGCTTCAGGCAGTAAGGGAACCAGATATCTTTTGTATAAGAGGTGGTAAGAAAACGACCAAGATTCAAAGAAATAATTAACAATGATAACACTTTGCATTTTCATAGCACCTTTTTCCTAAGGCACTTCTTATCTAGGTTGACTCATTTATTCTTACAATATCCCTATAACATAGATGTAGAACAATTGAAATTAAAAAAAAATGAAAGGGATTTTCATCATGACCTCAGATATGGAAGATATTGAAAAGGATATTATATTAGCAATAAAGATATTTCTTCATATTGAACAAAGGGATCACCTCTTCCCCTTCTGCTTCAGTAAAGTCATTTTAAAAAGATAAAAATCTATAACAATTTAGGGAGAATAATATTACAGTTTATTACATGGGAGACATTCCAAATTCAATCTAAAAAGGTATTTTAATTTGATGATATAGAGCTGTCTCTCTTTACAAAAACAAAGTTGTCAAAAAGAGTACAAATTAGGATTTTTTTAAACTTGAAATTTAAATGCACTTACGTGATTATTTATGTAGTGTTCTTTGTTTAGTAATGGGTCTTTTTGTAAAGAGAATCACTTTAAAATTATTTTATAAATATGAAGTTTTATAAACAATACTGGGTTGTTAAAGCAGAATATACTTACACTAAATGTTCTTTCGAAACCAAAAATAAGAAAGAAAGTGGGGGAGGGCACTAAAGAGTTAAATGATCTATTGCAGAGGCAGTCGCATGGAACAAAAGAGTCTTCAGCCCAAGGTTTCCCGTTCTCAGATGACATGACACCAGCAACATGCAACCTTTGCCCTTGGATTTCTGGATCCTAACCATTTCCCTCTTAATTTATCTGAGGATGCATATTTTCAGTACTGTGCAAATCACGTAGTATATGCTTTATGAACAAGGCCCAATTTTGGATATGTAAATACAATATTTTAAAGTTAGTAAAACCCTGGGTAGATATATTCAATTCTCATTTTCAGGAACAGGTGAGGCAAAGAGCATAGAGGAGTTGTCTTAAGAAGACACCTAAACTAAATACAGTCTTAGCGATATAGCATCAACTGTTAATAAAGAGACAAAGATAGGCAACACCCTCTCAAAATCTATTTCAGCACAAAGTTTTCTTCTTGTAAAGGGATCCAAATTGGAGTTACTTGTAAAGGTGACATAAATGCTAACAGAAGTAGACATGCGAGCAACGAGAGAAATTCTGACCTCAGAGTACTAGTGTTCATTCATTGTTGCTCAGCCCCTCACCCCAATCCCCCAGTGTGAATTTAATGCTATGGTGAAGTGGAATTTCACGTTTGTAACTCTCAGAAGCCATCAGTGGAGTTTTTTGTGTGTGTAATGGGTCGGGTAAGAAACAAGTCCTTTCCTAGTTCATTTGCTTGTTAGAAGTCAAATCTTCTCACCACACATTGCTACAGTAAAAGATTAAGAGATGGGACAACATCTTATAAGCAAAATTGGAAAGCCCATGGGATTAGGATCCGACTCACAGAGAGCATTCTGCAAACTATAAAACTATTCAAGACCGCTAGAGTATGCGGACTGATGTTGCATAATGACATACCTTTTAGAAGAGAAGAGATTGAGTCTATGACTTGGCTTTGACACTGAGTTATTAGAATCCTTTCTTGCAAGAAGAAAGATGAATTCACATCCAAATTACTGCCATTTCAGGGTACGGATCCACCTTGTGCTGCCTTCCAGCCACCACACTAAAAAGAGGGTTCACATCACAGATCCATTAGTAGTGCCTCCTCCTCCCTAACTTCTTACTCCCTCCTCCAAACCGCCCCCCAGTCAGAACTGCAGTCTGTAGGCAAACCACACAGGAACTAGCAGACATGGGGCTTCAGAGAGTTGGGCGTGAGCCTTAGATTATGTGGTTTTGTTTTCTTGCTGCCAAAGTTGAACTAAAATGCAAGAGGAGTTCACTGAAACACTTTTGCTGCTTTATGCTTGGTTTCAGTTTTAACAATTTCCCCCCTGAACCATTATGTTCACATAAGAAAATTTCTAATCCTAGAGATAGTGCATTGGCAGGCTGCTGCTGGTCTTAAGGAAATCTCTCATTTTCCCTTGGTATAGCCATGCAACCAGAGGAACATTAAGAATTCTTAGGAGAACTTATTTAATACCACTCTGGATCACTCACAATATTAAAATCCCAGGGAGAATGCTTTCTTAGTGCAATTAACCCATATTACCCTAACAAAAAAAAAAAAAAAAAAAGGAAAGGCTCTGAGCTAGGATGTGTTCCAGCCTCAGTTTTGCCACAGTCAGATATGAACTAGGCCTGGGATTCACTCTCTCTTGAGCTGGTTGGACTACAGGATTTCTGGGATTTTTAAGTTTCCATCACCTTCAACTCTATTAGTTCTTACCTTCAGATTTATAACTTACCCTCCCAAGTTCCTGCCTCCCATAACAAGTGCAACTTGTGAAGGCCTCTTCCTCTCTCTTTGCTCTTGCCAAAAATGGATTGCAACGTTGCATCTTTCACATAGAATTAGACATGTTGCTGCTTGCTAAATGGCACCATTCAGAGTTTGGAGACCAGATCCAAGATAAAGAGGAAAATGTTGGCTCACAGGATGTTCCTAGCATTAATCCCTTGAAGGCTAAGAAGGAGTGCGTCATGTTAGACTCTATTTGGGGTTCTAAAACTTAAACTTATTCTATATTGTGAAATGGTATCATTTTCTATCTCTTTGCCCCATTATACCTAAACCTTGCTCAAGATTTGCCTTTTTAATAAAAAAAAACTTTTCTTTGGTTATAATTGCTCCTTTTTTAAATTGAAACAGTAAAGAAGACTCGGGTATAGAATCAATAGAGCGCCTTGGTCATAGCAGGTAGTGCTCAGTAAATATTTGTTAAATGAGTTAAGAGAAGCAATTTGCTTCCCCTAACTCTTTCAAGAAGGACTTTCTTTTTAATAATGCCAGCTTGAATTTTCTTCAACTTGAGTTGTATCTGAACAGGGTCATCATTATTTCCACAATATAAAAATGGAAAGTTCAAGATAAAACATGTCGCTGACTTAAAATTTTTGAAAAATGTTTATTGAATTTAGAGAGAGAAAAGGTGGGGGGGGGAGTGAGAGGGGAGGTGGGAAAGAGAGAGAAACATCCCTTGGTTGCCTCTCATTTGCACCCCATCTGGGGATCAAACCCACCACCTTTTAGTGTACAGGGATGACACATTGCTTGGGGCTGTGTTGCCAATTTTAAAACAATGACATCTTAAGGTTGGCGTCAGCATTCTTTAGTCTTCATGGTTCAAGGACCTGGGTCATCGTTACACCCCAGGGTTCCACTGCCAGTTTTCAAACCCTACAATCTTCCAGCAGAGTCCTTATTCTGGCGGAGTCAGCAGTTTTAAAGTGGTCAAACACTGAGCCCCCTCCAGTTCCACAGCTGGAGAGCGGGAAGAAGGAGGAAAAGTTGAATAGTGCTCCAGGAAGTATAATGGCGTCTTCAGCTTGCGCCCTAATGAGGAAGCTACTGCATTTATCGGACTATAAGATGCACCCCCCCCCCTTTTTTAAAACCACATTTTTTGCTTCAAAATTTTTCCCCCTATTTTCCTCCTTTAAAACCTAGGCGCGTCTGGGGTCTGCACCATAAGACACACCTAGTTTTAGAGGAGGAAAATAGGAAAAAAAAATTGAAGCAAAAAATGCGGTGAGAAGGTGCACCTTATAGTCTGAGGAACGCGGTACTTTTCCACAGGGTGCTGCACCCAGGGAGCAGAACATAACCCCTCCCCTTACAAGTGTGGGGCTGAGTGCAGAACAGAAGAATCTCCGAGACCAGTTATTGCGGTAGTAAGTAATGATCAGCAGATGTGTTTCTAGAGCATATTGGGAGGGAAGCAAAGCCATCTCAGTGGTTTATTTCATTAACTGAACAAGTGCAAAGGCAAAACCTAAGAACAAAGGCTGTCATGTGAGAACACCAGCATTTCAGTCCGCACCATCAGGGACACTCAGAAAATTATCAGCAAAACTGGGGGGATTTAGGAATACGTGAAATCTCAACTTATCTACAATGGAGAAATTTTCTTTTAAAAGCACACATGTTAAAAATTTTCAGCAATTCCTTCTAAGGGGATCATCGTTAATATCAGAACTTCTTGTGCATAATTGTGTTTAAACTGGTTTTAAGGTGATTGTACTTCTCATTCGACAGTGTGGATCCAGACACTCCCTTTTCATTCCTTCAGTAAATAATGTGTGAACAGCTCTTCTACATGCCAGGAATGTATCAGTGAACAAAACATAACCCATGCCCTCCTGGATCCTACCTTCTGGCACAGGGAAAAACAACATGTGTGTCAGATGGCTGCACTACAACAGAGTCATAGAAAGTATGACTGAGGTGGGGGGTTGTGATTTCAATGGGAGATCAAAGGGTGTTTGAGCAAAGTCCAGGACAAAGCAAGGGAGCCAGGCTAAGAGCGCTCTGGGCCAACAGCTTTTGCAGGTATAGGGACCAGGAGGTGCAAAGCCTTAAGGTGGGAGCAAGCCTGGTGCATGAGGTAGAGAGGAATCAGTGTGGAGGTTAGAGAGAGCAGGGTCCAGAACACTTAGGACCTTGCTAGTTATCACATGATCTGACTTGGATTTTAAGTTCTCAAAGGACCATTTTGGCTGCTATGTTGAGGTTAGATGGTAAGGGAGCAAGAGCAGAAGCAGGGAGACCAGATAAGAGGCTCCTGCGATGGTCCTGGTAAGAGATGATGGCAACTTGGGGCAGACGGGAAGTGAAGGTTGGGGGCAGTAGTTAAGTCTGAATGTACAGGGTGACCATAAAGTCTGGAAACATAGATGTTATTGTGTATTAGAAGGTGGCATTGATAACCCATTTATTACCTCCTGACACGTATTCCCAAGACTTGGCAGCCAGCTGCATGAAATGAGCTGTGGTGTGAGAGACAAAGAGATGAGTTGATGACTCCAAGGTCACGGCCTAGGAAACTAGAAGCAAGGATGTGTCACTTACCGAGACGGAGCAGGTTTGGAAGATCAAGAGTTTGGTTCTGGATGTATTAAATATGAGATGTCTATGAGAAGTGCCAGTGGGAAAGTCAGGAGAGATTAGGGCTGACAATAAAGTGTTAAGAACTGCTGAGAAAGAACAGGGTGTTGTGAGCTATGAGACTGGATAAAACCACCTGAAGAAGAAATGCAGAGAACAGACCCCTCCAAGGTTGAGAGGTCAGAGAAATGAGAAGAAACCAGCCAAAGGGATGAGGAGGAGTGTGAGGCCCTAGAAACCAAGAGAAGAAACCGTTTATTTTTATAAAACTCTGAATTCCGGAGATGGGGGAGGAATACACCAAGTTGTTATTGTAAAATGAAGTCTGTGTTTAGTGAAGGCCACAGTATTGCAACTAAATTATGGTGCCCCCAAATGGAGGAAAGCAGAGAAAAAGGACCTCTTACAAAATGTCAGTTTAACAGTTAATTCCTCTAAGTAGGTAACATGACACCTTTGGAGAACCTAACTGATTCCCTGTTAAACTCATCCAGAGATTCAGTCTAAAAGGAGGAAATGAATGAGTTTAAAAAGAAAAAGATAGGATTTCTGACCTTCTCAAAACACAACAAGTAGACCTCCGAATGAGAATGTCGATGGATTTCAATGTCAAGGACCACCCTTAGGGTAGGGGAAAGGGCACAGCATTGAATGCAGAAGATTTGTGTTCAAGTTCTAGGTAAATAACTTTATGGTTGAATAATTCCAAGCAATTCATGCAACCCATTTATTTGTTCCTGCAAACTCAGCCCAAGTTCACCTACTCCAGGAAGACTTCCCTAACTTTGTAGATTTAGACAAATCCCCTTTCCACTCCCACATCACTCTATATTTGCCTTTGTCATGGCAACTTATTATAATTGCTGATTTATTTCTGTCTCCTCCGAGACTGTTAGACTATAATTTCCTTGTAGTCCCAATAGCTCAGCATAATGCGGGGCACACAGCAGGTTGCTCAGCGATGTAGAGTGAATGCATATTCTCCAAGCTCACTGCCTCCTATGTAAAACAGGGTCATTAAAGGGTCTGCCTACTTTTCAGAGCTCCTTGGAAATTTACACAAGATATCCTTAGGAAAAAAAAAAGGTCTTCTCAAGCTATAATTCAATATATAAAGTACCTGTTGTTTGTCCCCCCTCCCCCCAACACACGTTACAGAATAACACCTTAACACGCTATTCAAGGCCCTGAACAATCTCTGTCCAGGCCCGCTTCTCCACTTCCCTCTGGCGGCTACTCCGCGTGGCCCGCTAGGCAGTATTTCAAGCAGACGGACTTCTCTCATACCTCCTATCCTTTTATACTATACTTACCTACCTTTATGCCCGGATCAATAATGTGGGCTGTTACAATCATCATCGTACTTGGAAGCAGTAAGCGTTAAAGACAAACGTTACTTTCCTCTATGAAACATGTTCCCGTTCCCCAAGTCTCTTCCCTCTGTTCCCAGCAGAAGGCTGCCATCGTCCACTCAGGCACCAGCATGCTTCCCAACAGGTGTGATGACATGTTCAGCGGGTCACACCACCCGGCAGCGCGATCCAGGCCCTCTGTGACCTGACGTTCCTCTGCCGCCGCTTCTCCCTCCGCCGCTCCGCGGAGAGGCTGAGAGGCTGAGAGGCTGAGAGGCTGAGCGCCGCGGCCACAGCCCTGGAAGGACGGGGCTGGCAGTTTCCCCGCGATAATGAGCCCTCTCAGCTTTCAAGATTTCACCCAT